AGCGTCTTTAAGGACAGATTAGCATGGGTAGTCAAAGGATGATGGGGGTAACAACCATTTCCCTTTGTCTTTTCTACTGCTAGGTTATATATTGCAGTTACAGTTCTCACCAGAACATGGCCATGCTCTGGAGCACCAAAGAAATTTGCTGCTAAGATGATGTTATGATCATCAGCAACATCAGAAAATCGGTGTTGTCCTTCAGTGAGAACTGAGCTAATGAAAATGGGATGAAACACAGCAATGCAGAGAGTGGAATGAGAAAATCCATGGTTGATTTCAGGAATTAGTCTTATAAGCCAAAAACGTATCTCTTGGAAACAGCGAAGTATGCTGAATTTATTAGATGATCAAAGGTTCACAAGCAGTTACAGGTGTGAAGTAACAATGAAGAAACGTATTTGTGATCTTAGGACACTTGAGATGAGGTACTGGCAGAAGGGAAGCCTCTGTTCAGGCTGTTAATGTGCAGTGACACGTACAATCTCACCCATTTTCACCATATTTGTCTCAAAGCTGGAATGAGCACAGAGGAAAAGACACTTGAATGATTAGGAGAATTTTGAGAACTATTCATGGGAGACTTAAGAAGCTAAGCTTAAGAGGCAGTAAATAGAAAAAAATACTAGGTCCCATCAGTTTAAGTTGGACTGTGTGTGGATGGATCTGTGTGTGTGTGTGCACCTGATGAAGCCTATTATTAACAATACTGTGACTGACTCATATTATATTTTTAAACAGTTTATTTTGTTTATAGATAAATGTAGCTCTGACTGCCTTGGAAGTTTCTTCCTACTAAAATGGTGGTAGACAAATCAGTTCCTGTATGCAGTAGATGTGACTTTAACTCACCTGCTATGTACAGAGCTGGATAAAAATACCTGATACATAGTTACTAGTATCAGTATGGCAATATTCTTTAGCTCACTATCACTTAAAGCACTGAAAATCCTTTTGACAAAATTTTTGCACAAAACCTGAAATATGGTTCCTAAACTATGCAGAGTTAGAGCTCTTAGCAGAGGGTAAAACCTCTTAAAATGAGTTTTTACTCTGGAAACAGGGGTGTCCAGTGAATTGCTTACACAGTTAGGCTGCTCATCAGCTGCAGACACAATTGCTGTTACAATCCTGCCTGCTGTGGTTGTACAGGAGACCTCTTCTGTAGCTGTTGGCACGTTGGCTTTGGAGGCTACCGAGGTGATGGAGTCCTATATCTCAGATGCAAATAAGAAAAGACACAAATAAGGAAAGACAAAGAAATGCAGAAGACAAGAAGGATGTAAAAATGCTATAATGAACTCGTGTGTCTTGAGAAAACCTCTAATCTAATGAGAATGGATTTTGTTTGAGAGATAGTAGTAGTACAATTAATTATTCATGGCAGCGACATCATTAGGATTTCATTTTATTTAAAGGCCTCTAAGTGACTTGGAAAATTTTGTTAAGCTGAAGAGGCGCTTTAGGAGAGAGACACAGGAAAGCTTTTCATTTTATTGGCTTTGTCTAGTATTTTCTAGAGAGTTATTAGATGTATAAACAGAAATTGCAGCTGAGGCCCAAAATTTCTGCATTGAGTGTAGGCATAGATTTGAACCCATAAATACAAAATCTAGGCCAAATGAAAATCTGGATGGCTTTTTGTGAAATCAGCTAGACACCATTTAAGTGACCACTTAGGTGAAGAGTTGCAGTACTTCAGCAATGCATATTAAGACCAACCAGTGATCGGTGGCTCCTTGTCTGCAGTTCCAAGCCTGGAATCCTAATGTCTCCTGGAGAGAGGAATACGGGACTATATAGCTTTTCTTCTTGGCCTGCAGTAGTGTAAGTATAGGCACAACCTGAGAACCATGGGGTTGTTCCCCTAAAACCAGAAAAGCTTCAGCTGAGGTACATCCAGGATAAAGTTAGCTGCAGTATAAAGGAAGGACAGAAATGTTCCCAGACACCAGCAGCAGATAAACCTCTCTTTTACGTGCAGTAGCTCAAGCTCCTTGCAATTGACCAGACTCCTATGTGTACTGCCCATAGTGACAGAAAACCTGGAAAATACAACCTGTGTCTAACAGGAGGGGTTGTGTGCCCACAAGGAACAGTGTCCTGGCACCTGAAACTGTACCTTGCAAGGTACAGACGACAGCAACATGGCAAGGATTAGCCTTCTGTGCCCCCACAGTAAATCTATATCTGATTCACAGACGGACAGACTGTACAGCTAACACTTAAGTGCTGTTGAGTTTACACACACATATATATATATGTATATATATATGTAACACATGGATTCTAGCCTGGGAACTGTCCAGGACTCTGAGTGTTTAAAAGTCTGGTTCTCTTTTTCTTTTTGTAATGTTTATTTGTTCCTTTCCTTGTCATTCTCCCTTTTAACTCATGGACATCATTCAGGGACAGATTTAAATTGAAGCAGACAGACTCCAGTTCTGCTCTGTCCCCTGAACAGTGGAGATTTGTTTTAAAGCACTGTCGGGAGAGCAGTTGGTATGACTGGAATGCTCATGGCTTTATTTTTCATTTCATATCACGTGCAGAGTAACCCAGCTAACTCAAGATGGCTGTTCACATGGCCATGGTGGTACCATCTCTGCTGTGGCTGAGAGCTATGTAGATTATTTACAACAGCTTGCTGGAGATGTGCACAAACAATGGATTGGCCACCAGGAGGAAAATGGGAGATGAAGCTCGTATGAACCTAGACTTGAGGCCCTGAGAATTACATTGGGCAATGGCTCTTAAAAATGAAAGAAAATGTGTCTAAGTACTGATCTGGATCCAGTTTCAGGCTTGGCCTGAAACTGAGAAACAATTGCTCTCACTTTGATGTTTGGAAGGGTTTGTTTCACAATGTTTATATGTAGCTGACACTGGGAGGGAAAATTCCTATTGAAATTTTCTAATTAAGAAGACATTTCAATAAGGCAATTGCCATTTGTCCTACAATCCCCAAGCCCTGTCTTGCATAAAAATCAATAGCAGTTCCAAGTTGCCACGTCCTTTCTCACCTGGAAACTATGCTGGGCCACTGCAAGGTTTTGCTGGCGTGATGGGTATCATCTGGTTGAATCCTGAATCAGAAGGAAGAAAATGCAGTTGTATCTGATTTGCTAAAGGTGTGACTAGCCAGGGGCATCTCCTGGGTGGTATCGTGGGCATCTTGCTGTAGTTGCAGCCCAGCCATGTATTTTTTTATGGTGCACATGGAATAAGGGCAAGAGGTGGATGTGTCTGTTCCTTCTGGTCATGGACACAACTGGTTATTCTTCTCCAGCTGCAGCCGGAGATGACTGGAAATACGTCTTCCCACAGTGTCTCATCTCAATCAGACCAAATAGATAATTGGGGCTGAGGAGTCTCTCCCTTGCTTCTCTGTGGCCCTTCTCATAGTGCTCACCTAGGAGAACTATTGGGCTTACAGTTTCCCCAGACTTCTACTAGGTGGAATGTGCCTGCAGTCTTACTGTTTATTTAGGTTTCAAGAAGAAGGAAAAAAAAAATCACTACAAATAATAAAACCTTTTTCTCCTGATGACTTTTTGATGACATTATTTTGGTGGCTAGACACTTGAATTTACAGTATGTAAATATTCATTTGTTTTCCCATGTGAGGAAAAAATGCAAGTCAAATAAATTTGAGTCAATTCACTACATCCATTTATCGTCGTTTTCAAAAATCCTTATTATTTTTGCAGCTAAGTAATGTGTTTGACTAACCATGCTTTTTTCTCTGTGCATGACCTTGGATAAACACAATTATTAAAAAAACATAGGTGAAAACTAACTTTGCAGTACAGCGATCCTAGCACAACACAGTTCTTTGATCATTCACGGTTTGTCATAGCAAATGTAAAGCTTAATCCTGTACGTGAAAGGTAACTGAATGAGTCTTAATTTGGGAAAATGGTTTTCCTTTAGTACTGGCTCACACAAACGTGATTGACTCTTCCTGGGACTGTAATGGCACTGTTTTAGCTGTTGAAGAGCTGTGTTGTTTTTCTAATCATCCATTATTAAATCTCAATCATCCAGGCCCTTTCTGAGAGACCCTTCTGAGGATTTTCCTTTAGCTCTGACCCTATTTTGACCCAAGTATATTTGTTGCTTTACACAAATCCAAATTCTTCCACTGGGTATGCAAAGTTCTGTGCTTATGGACTCAACAGTCTGCTCTAGTGAAACTTGCATGCTTTGATCCTGTTGACTTCAGTGCGAAAGAGCATCTCCTTTGGTGCAGGCTTATCAGTTCCCTCGTTTGGGATGGATTTTGATATGTCCCCCCTTAGAGTATTTCACAAAATTGTAGGGGTTGGAAGGGGCCTCTGGACATCATTGAATCCAACTCCCTGCTAAAGCGGGTTCCCTACAGTAGGTCACACAGCAGGCAGGCATCTAGACAGGTCTTAATATCTCCAGAGAAGGAGACTCCACAGCCTCTCTGGGCAGCCTGTCCCAGTGCTCTGTTACTCTGGCAGTGAAGTTCTTTCTCGTGTTCTGTGAAACTTCCTGTATTCTGGTTCCTGCCCATTTGTTTAACAAGTCAAAACTGTTCTTTTGGGAAGAGGCTTTCCTTTCTGTTCCTTGTAACATACTCCTACGATAGGAATTAGTGCTTGCTGTGGTTCCTTTAACCCAAGGAACTCAGACTTTGGTTCCCTGTCTAAAAATCTGCAGTGCCAGGTAGCTATTAGTAAACCAGGGAAAATCTTCAACAAGGCTGACACCTTATGTTGTGCCTTGTTGGAAGAAACATCCTAGTTGAAAGTACTAACAGTATCTACTAAGCTCCCTTATCTCTGGACAAGATGACTTGAAAAAGCACCATGTGGGAGAAAGCTGGGTCCCTGCTACAGCTGGTACAAATTAGCAGGCCTGGCAGGAGCTTGGGGGAAGTCCAGAAGCTGTGATTTTGGACAGCTGGCAGCAAGGGATTTAATACAGCTGGGTCTGTGGGGGGTTGTGGCAGTTGGGGTTAGCGAGGTAGTTGGGCCAGCTTGGCTTGAGGTAGAACTGTGAGCAGCTAGGAGGTCCCTTGTCCTTGAAGAGTAAGTTGTTCCATTCCACTTGCAAGGGCTTGGGGTTGGCTGCAGGTGTCAGCTGAGGCTGTGAGGTGTGTGGGAAACTGATCGGTTCTGATGGAGGCTGCTGAGAGAGGGGGCAAATGTCTTCCTGAAACAGAAAGGTGTAAAAGCTGCGTGCGGCTGCAACTTGGAGGTTGGGCAGGGAACTGCACAGCGCAGAGAACTAAGGCAGCAATCCTAAGCTTGAACTTGCCTTGTTAAGGCCTCTCTCAGCACCTGGGCATCTAGCTCCCATCACACCAGAATGCCTTGTGTAGCTAGAAAATGCTATAAGCATTCAGTCTAAACAGAACCAAAGGGGAAAGAGAGCGGATAAAGCCATGTTTTAGGTTGTTCCATTTGGTTCAGCAGAACTGGCTGCTAAAGTTTGCCTTGGGCTGCTCCTTCCCCTGAGAGCTGCGTGATGCTCCGTTGCTCCTTCCTCTCAGGTCTTGCAGGCACGGACTTTCCTCCTGGGTTGACTGGTGTTAGTTTGACATCACACCTTGGCAGTGATGAGCGCGTGCCTGCTTGAGCTGGAAGCTGTTTAACTACATCCGTGAGACACTGTGTGCTGGGAAGCAAGAATAATAAACTTCTGGAAGCTGTAGGCTCCTGGCTGGTGCCAGGAGAATGAGTGATGAAGGATTTTGCCTGCAGATCCCAGCGCGAGCAGCGCCTCTCACTTTGATCCGGTGAGTCTGTGTGGATGGGTGGTGGGATGGTGGGAGCTTTTCATGTATTATATGGAACAACTTGTTCTGCTTCTCCCATCACGTGTCTCTGGACACTGGGAGCAGAAATCTTCATTATCTGAAGAAGAAAAAAAGTGTACGTGTGTAGATTTAATGAAATTACAAGTTCTGCTGTTCTTCCTTCAGCCCATGCTTTGTTTGCTTGGCTTTGTTAACACAAGGGAAAACTAAGAACCATGCAGCTGGGTGACTGATTCTCAGAAACTTTTAATGTAGACCTCCCTAATGTGTATTGTTTATAGTCCTTCTAATGCTTTGTTAAACAGATAGGTACTGACGTTGTATGGTACATCCTGATGGTGTTCTCCTGGTTTAGCATGGACAGCTGGCTGGATTGCTGTAGAGTTCATATTATTAGCAGCTAAATGCATAGTGCAGAGAATTGTCCCTGTAGGAGCTACCTCAACTCCCACTTGAATCTCCAAGCTGGGCCTCTAAAATCCATAGAAATTGGAAGTTGAGACCAGTGTTCTCATAACTGCTGCTGGATTTCAAGTACTCTATAGCTGTACTTGGACTGTAAACTGCCTACCCAGGCACGTGCAGAAATTAGGTCTGATCTCTAATGTCTGAATGCTGAAATCCTGTTACTGAGCTGAATTTTGTATTAGAGTACTGTGCACTGAGCTGCAATTACAGTAGTGGCTGCAGTTTGGGTGTGACACAATTAGATATAACTGAATATCCCGTTAGGCACCTAACGCTACGCAAATTCTGCATTTAAGCCATCTGGGTGCTTTCTGTGTTACAGCTGTGGTGCTCTGAATTCCTCTCCCCAAAGCCTTCCAAGGCTCTAAGTCTTCAAACTCAGTGTGTGCTCTGCTTCTAACTAGAAAAAGCAGTAAATCACAAAATGGCTGAGATGGGGAGGGCCTTCTTGGTCCATCCATCTGGATCAACCCCTACTCAAGCAGGGCTACCCACTGCAGAACACTAAGGGCCATGTCCAGGCTCTTTTGGAGATCTCCAAGGATGAGGCCTCACAGTCTCTGGGCAGCCTGTGGCCGGGCTCCAGTACCTACACAGCACAGTTCTTCCCAGTGTTCAGAGGGAACCTCCAGTGCTCGTCTGTGCCACTGCCTCTTGTCTTGCACTGGGCACCACATCCTCTTCTCATTGCAGAGGTGCATCAGGCCCTGATCATCCTGGTGGCCTTTGGGGCTCTCTTCAGTATTGTCCGTATCTCTCTTGGACGGGGGGGCCCGGAACTGGACCTGGGAGTCCATATGTGGCCTTGGTGATGCTGAGGAGAAGGATCACCTCTGTCGATCTGCTGGTGGTACTTTGCCTAATGCAGCCATGAGCCTTCTTGGTAGAAGGGCATTCTGCTGACTGATGTTCCGCTGGCTGTTCACTAGGACTGCTAGGTCCTCTTCATCAGAGCTGCTTTGCTGGTGGTTGGCCCTCAATATAGGAGGGTTTGGTATTTTGGGGTGCCTTCTGCATTTCAAGAACTTTTTTCCCCAGTAATTGGGAGCTTACACAAAAAAAATCTGTACGTGAAGGAAAAACATCAAATGCTCATCTCGCTTCTCTAGCTTTGTGTTAGTGATCATGCAGTGAGTGAGAATATCTGGCTGTGGCTGCACGACACCAAGGACGTATGTGTCTCTGCATGGCAGTGCCATGGAGGTCCCCCATGATGGGTAATCTGACCTGGGAACTGTCTTTGGTTTTGAAGTAAGGGCATGAACCAGATCTCTCTGAGTATGGTTTATATCTGGCCAAAATTTGGTGCCTGTTTTGTAAATTCGGGATGAACTTGTGTTGGTGTGCTAGGCAGCAGAACTCCTATCCAGACGGATAGCTGCTTAGACGGATTTGAGTTTTGTACCCATACAGAAGTAAATAAATGCATATACACTTCATCAGATCTGCATTTCTCTGTTAAAATACAGGGCTTTCTTTCTTTCTTCTTCTTTTTTTCTTTTTTTCTGAAATGCCACTAAATTACTCCTCTTCTTTAACTTCTGTTAACAGAAGCAATTAAAATCTACTCAGTGAATTTATGTGTTATTCCTCTAGTTTAATAACTACTTCTGGCTAAGTTCCTCTACGCAGTTTATACCCTAAACAGCTAGAAGTTTAGTTCTTAAAAATAATCCTCCCTCTTGGAGCCAAATGCTTTCCTTTCAACACTGTTTCCTTCATACCAAGGCGAGGGTGGGATTCCCAGCCTCAGGCCGATCTGCAGCTCTAGACTGAAACTAAATACAAAGGCCTGGGACCAAGTCCCATCATCTGCAGGAGTTGGGCAAGAGGAAATGTTTCTTGTGTTAGCTCAGCTTGTGGCCACACTGGGAGAATTTGTTTTCACACCAAACAGTTGGCTGCTTGGGGAGAGGAGAATGGGGGACTGACCTCAGAGAAAAGATCTTACCTTAGGAGCAACTCTTTCCAGAGACACGCTGTTATTTTTCAATGCTGTATGTAGCACATACATGAAATGTATGCAGCATAAAAGCTTCACTAATGGTGCACTTCTGCACAGCGGCGTTGGAGTTGAGGAGCCTTACTTACATTTGCTTCTCATTGTCTTTAAGCCAGCAGACAAGTGAGGCAGGGCTTGTGCTGCACGATTCTTGCCTGGCTCTTATTCCCACAGCTTAAATTTTGATGGTTTGGTGACAAGGGTTGGGTGGCTTGCGTTACGAAGCCCAAAGCTATTTGCAGAGTGTTGCTCAGCTTGTACTTCTGTTTCAGGTTGACCTCGAGGTTCAAAGAACAACATATTTAAAATGTTAAACATTTAAAATGGTATATCAAATTTTTAACCTGTTTCCCCAGCGTGGCTCAGTGGTATCTTGCCAGAAACAGCCTTGGTTTGGTTTCTGACCTCCTGTTGTGCAGGGAACCGAGAGCCCTCTGGGGTGCTGCAGCTCGGTCTGGCACAAGCTGAAGCGCTGAGCCCATCTCCCTGTGTGGTAACGGGGCTGCTGCTCCGGGCTTGTAAATCACCAGCAGTCAGGGACAAAAGGTGAATGCTCTTGTCATCATTGTGGCAAAGATCGAGAGTGAGGTTTTCGCATCTCCCTCCTGAGTGATGAGAGAGGGCATCGCAGACATGCTTGGTTTATTTCTTTGTGTGTGTGTTTGCTGATTATGCGTGCCTGTGAATTTGCTGAGCATGTTCTTTAGCGTTTATTTCCTAAACAATGTTGCAGCTGTGCCAGATACACATCAATGATTTGCACATCTTCATACCCTTCATTTGAAACAGCGACAATTTCTGATGACTCATTTTCCAAGTGAAGCATTGGAGTAAGAGAAGTAGCATCTGCGGATGAACAGGGCACTTGATAATATATGGCTCTGCGTGACTAAATGAAACAGTCTGATTGGAAAAAGAGATAAAATGTTTTCATTACAGTGCTTAACACCTCCCTTAAACTCTTGCAGTTCTTTGTCTATGTTTGTTGTTGCTTTTGTTTTTCCCCAAACTCTTCACATGGTAAAAACATTAGTATTGCGTTAGAAGACAAGGTATACAGTGAGTAGAGACTGTTTTCAGACTATCTCAGAATCATCTCCTCCTTTTTAGTGGGAGATCAGAGAGGAGCTGCTGGGTCTAATTCTGGCAAACAATTTTCAGTATCTACTTCCACTGTTTAGTGACAATTTTAGATGTCTGATGGGCAGCACAACCACTGCCATGCTCTAGACAGCATCCATAAAGAAGAAAAGAGTGCTGCCTTATAAAAACTGCTCTAACTCAAACATTGCTCTTGAGTTCTGCAATACTGAACCACAGCCCAAGCCCAGGGTTCTCGCCTTTGGGAAAATGACGTGAAAGAAAAATGTACATAGTCAGTTGTAACCAGGAGCAGGGCGTATGAAGGCTGGCAAATAGCTTCTTCCACGCTACTTCATGCACACAGGTAAAATATTCTGCAGCCTTTGTTTGGGGAACGCATTGCACTGAAAAGTAAAGCAAAGGGCCACTCAAGGAAACGTGTGCCAAGTGATTTTTAACTAAACTTTTACCATCAGTAAACTTTGTTAGGGGTTCCCATAGTAATTATATAATTAGATAATATAGAAGCAGCACAACAAACTAAGCACCCATTGCAAATATGCTGGAATGCTTGCAGCTTCGTACGGAAAGTAACTCTTGACTGTCTCGGTGTAAGTACACGTGTTGCACCAAGCAGTGGGTATTTGTGGAGCAGTTCAGAGCCCCTTGCTGTTACAGCAAGATAGGTTAGTAAGATGCCTGGGAGCCTGCTGTATCTTCTGTGCTGCCCACTCTCAGTATCCATTGTGAAATGAGAACTGTGGCACTGCTGAACAGCATAAGGATGGTCTAATCCTGGGAAGAACTCTGTCTTCTGCTGCTTCTGAATAGCTGGAGATGAGAGACTTGTAAAAATAGAAGACCTTGTCCCGGTGCATTCTGCTAACATCAAGTATGAAGGGTAAAATAGCTCCACATAGCTGGGTGAAGACAGGCATCTCTAGCATAAGCCATTCCAGGCGGTGACTAGCTCATGTTCTTTTCATCATGTGGGCAGACACTTGCTGAGACAAACCTCCTGTCATGAGAAGAAATAACAGTGTGTCCAACTCGCAGGAAAGTCAGTTAAGACTAGATCCTCTTTTCCTTAGGGATTCAAGTTGCTACCAGGTCAACTGCATAGTCAATAACTGATCCACCTTCATTAACTCTTAGTGAATGCAGTGCTCAAAAGCATGTTCAGTTGAAACAACTCATACTTCCTCTGACCCTTTCTTCCAAACGTATGGTTTTGACATGCAACTGTAAATGAATACCAGGTGGATGCTAGCTAAAAAATGGACATTGGACATGGAGATTTGGGTTAATCTCACGGTAAGCTTCCAAAGATATTGGTGAAATTGAGTTAAATTTTGCTTTTTGCTGGGCCACCTAGAAATGAGCTGAAAGTTTGTTATAGCTAAGCAGCATGAACACCGAATACTGAATAAATCTCTAGTTAAATCTTCAGGGAAAGGCTGTATTATAGTAATAGAACGGGGTGCTTGTATTAGCCATGAAACAGTCCAGCTGTTTAGGGTGAAATATCTGATTTGATGTCAGCAATCTTGACTTGGGCTGGATGATGATCTTTGTGGAGCCTTTATAGGAGTTGATTTTCTCCCAAGGAAAATGCAGCATAGGAGCATAGGCTTAAATCTTGCTGCAGCATAACACTGCAGCTCCCTGAGAGAATGGGTGCTTTTGTAAAAGCACAGCAGCCCTCTTAGGGATGTGTACAAAGAGTCTATATTTAAACCAGCGTTTAACTGGAGTAGCCCTTCCTTAGGCTTGTGGGGTATCTAAGTGCCTGCTGCATCCTGAAGGCTAGGTAGCTTTGGAATCTAGGCTACAGCATCCTGGCAAATGCCTGAGGTAAGAGAAGCCAATGGTGGCACTGCAATGTTCATTTTCTGTGCATTTCTAAACTTAACCAAATAAACTCCAACCTAGATAGACCATCAGTTCAGTGGCCTACAGCAAAATGTAATAAACTGAATAACTGTAGGCTTGAATAGAATCTCACACAATTGTGTTACCGCTGAATTACTTTTTTGACCTCTTTAAAGCTATGCTTCTCTTAAAAATGCTCATGGTCTGCACATGGACTGTCCTCTCAGCATCTTCTGTGCTGAGCAGATTGATAGAAGAACGCAAGTATTGCATTGTCCTTCTGGCTCCTGTCTTTAGGAGCCTGGCAATGTGCAAGGCACGGTGTGTGCTAGAGGAAGAGTCCCTCTAACTGATGCCTGCAAGTGCTTGCTCACATCCTAGAGAACTGCAGACAGCTATTTATTTTCCTGAAATCAGTAAGCAAATAAGATAATTACCCTACTGTCAGTGGCCAAGCTTCCTGAAATCAGTAAGCTATTCCTCTTGACAAATAATGGCTACGAGTCTTGTCACCTCATTCAAGAGCAAATCTGCTCAACAGCTGTGCAGGTACCTTCACTGACTTTAAATAAGTGTGAAGGGATGTCATCTGGCTCGGATTTAGGAAATGACTTCAGCACCTTCCTAGTTGTCTTCTTCCATGAAAATGTTTTGCATGAGTTGATGCTTGGAAGAGAAAGACTTTAAGACAGCAGCTGATACTGGAGAATCTGGAAAAGGCATTGAAGACATGGATTTTAGTCACTAACTGGTATGAAATATGTTGAAGGGTTTTTGTTAGCCTACATAATATGCATCACCCTCTCTTTTTAAAGTCCTTGTATGCTACTGCTTGAAATACAGGTCTGTATTTTGTGCAATTGAGCAAGGGATCATTAAGAGCAAATGCAGGTATTTTATATGGACTAAAGAAATCCCAGGCTTTAACATCCCAAAGGTTTCTCTGTCTATGAAGGGAGAGATGATGATGGATTTGATTCTTCTAGCTTAGTGTTGCTGTGATTAAGGTTCTGAAGACAAGAGTGAGGCAAGAGAGCTGCAAATATCCCTTTCCAGGTTCAGTGCTTTCCCTAAGGAATAGTAACAGAAGGGGAAAGATTTGGAGTCTAAATGCTTTGTGCCTTTGAAGACGATTTGCCCCCAAACTTGCTCATTTTTCCCAGCTATGAGAGTTAGTCTCTTACAATATAGTGGAGAAAGAAAGGGATTTAAAAAGAAAACAGCAGGGATGATTGCAGTGAAAAAGAAATATTGAATGTAGTTTGGAACTGGGGGAATCTTTGTTTTGCAGATTATTTTCTGGCTTCCAGCCTGATCCAAGAAACCACTTCTATCAAAGGAATGAAAGATTAAAGCCAGAAATTTAATTGCTTCAGAAAAAAGATTTACTGCCCATGAAGTTCATTGGAATCCAAAATAAGATCTGTTCTGTAATGTATGCTACATCTCAACCACGTTGAAAACTGTTGCAGGGAAAAAGAAATCCTTGCATCTCCAAGAGCAGGGTTCTAGTTGCACCACAAGAAAGTGATTTCTCAATACCACTGGAATGTGGTTTCTAGTGCAGAATTTCTGCTTACAGTATTCTCCTGTCATCTGTTGAATTTAAAGAATGAAATTAGAGGAGGAAATATTTTGTTATTATAGATCAAATAAATTAAGTCCCAGTTAAATTAATAGCTTGTTGAGTTATCCATAAGACATTCTGTTTTTCTTTGTGTCTCATTCATACAAAGTAGTATAAATGTTGCTCTTCTGGCTATTAGCATGTGATGCAACACATGCTATGTTTTTGTAGGGCAGTGCCAAAAAGATAGTTATTCTAGAGCAAAATTATGCGGCCAAGAGACTTTAGAAATACCAGTTCAGTGTTTTCCAAGCTGTGTTCTTATTACTGTGACTGTTATGAAAAAGAAAGGAGGGGGGGGGGAAAAAGAGAGGGAAACAAAACCACATAAGTGGTGTGGTTTTAGCATTTGGAGATAAAGCAAACTAACAAAAATAAACGAAACAAACTGAAAACCCACCTCACTGTGTAGCAATTGTGTGTGTTAAGACTTTGTGCTTGGAGGGAAAAGTTACCTTGCTATGCAATACCAACCTAACAGAGTGAAGACTTTCCTTCCCCAAAGCCCAGCAACAAAGGCAATGGAGTAAAAATCCCGATCTGTTCTGTGGGTTACTAATAGATCTTTGTGTTACCAAAGAAAATAGAGCCTCTGACAGAAACTATAATCTGTCAAAAGCTTTCTGGAGGAATAGAAAGCTCAGATGGAAGCTGGGAAGGAAATCTGGGGAAATAGAGAAGCAGTGTGGGCATCTCTGGTGCTCAGTAGCTTGAAGGTCAATTCTGCACTGTAAAGCAAGGCTCTGGACTTGCAGTCCTCAGCTTGACTGCATCTTCCTGAAGGAATGGGGAAAGAGTCCACGCTTGGAGGTATTCCTGCCCCCATGCTGATGGTTTGATCCTACCAGAGAAACAGGTCAAAAGCAGTGCTGAGGGAAAGCACCACCCAGCTTTGATCAGCGGCGAGCATCACACTGAGGGAATTGCTGCACTTCAGAGTGAAGTCTACTTCTCTTCTGACAGTACGCTCACAAACATCCGTTTGGTTACAGCTCTTACTGGAAGTGGGCAAATTGGCAGAAAAACCTTAAGGCGGTGCCAAGCCAAGGCATCTGGTTTGCTTCCAAATGTCCAAACGCCAGTAATACCTATAAAGCTATCTACAGACATGTAAGATAGAAAAATATATGGAGTGGTATACATGTTAAAGTTGTTGCCGAGAAATAATGACAGTAATTATTTTCACTGGCTCTTTCTTTTCTTTGGCGTGCCCACATCTGTGAGCCTGGAGACAAGTCAGATGTGGAAAATGTGTTGGAGTTTGGATTTCAGATTAACCACCTTCTCTGCGGTCCTTTGGCAACAGGTTGGATCCAATAACTGATGTATACTGTGGTTTTGGTATGGACCTCACGAGTCGGGAGCTGCAGAAGTTACCTTCCTCAAATTAACTTCAGAGCAAGTCTTCCCTGGATGGGATGATGGAGAATTATGGTTCTATTTCAAATCAAGAATGGAAGATTAATACTGACAAATACAACTACCAGCTGGATCTGTTTCAGTGTTCGTTGGCATGAGTGGCTGCTCTCTGTCCTTTTCCAACTCAGCCAGACAAACTCATTTGTAATTAACAGATTGGTGGCTGAAAAAAATCCACTCATCTCACCAGTTTTGATGTTTTAGAAAGGCTTACACTGAAAAGAGGATAATATCTGGGTTGCGTTCCATGGGTACCCTCACATATCCTGAGCACAGAAGAGCAGTGGTATGCAGTAAAAACTGGTGTCTGAAAGTTTAAAGACTTCTCTTAGTGCTTTCTAAGCCGTTACTTAGCATTTTGTGGCAACTTTCCTTTTTTGTTTTTAGGATGTTGTTGTGATTTAACGAGAGAACTTGTCTCATTTTAGAATAATAGTAAGTTCTTATCACTTGACTGTATGTCTACATGTAGATTTTGGGCACCTAAATTAAAGGATCAGAGTGCTGATGTGATTTCCTGCATCCTGTTAGCTCCTTTATCAAGGATAAGGTAATAGCTGAGGGATCCTTCTAAAGTTGGGATGAAAACCAGTACAACTGCAAGGTTTTGTCTTCTGTACCTTCTAAATCACTTAGCTTCTTACATAGCAGAGAAGTAGAAGGGGTCCCTTGCTGTGCATGGCATGTGTGTGGTGATGCTGATCTCAGCAGCATCCATGGTAAAACGTGAGAGGGGGATATGATTTTAAGAACAGTAGCAAAGAGCAGATCAAAATGCCTCTGTGCAAGGCACGTGCAAAGCTGTCCTGCGTGCGGTAACAAGGTCTCCACTTGGAGCACGCTGCTCCTTGCTGCCCTGCAGCCTATCTGTGCCTGGAAAAACGTGGCTTCTTGACTTGTGCAAGAAAAGCTGTTTCCTGGCCCCTCCTCCCTGCCTATAAACATTTATTCCCCAGTGAGCATAACTTTGGCCTTTGCGCTGTTGAGTGAAAGCGTTCTTGTGCTCTTGAAAGCAGTTGGCATTCTCTAATGAAGTGCCATGGGATCCGTAGGCACTGCAGGGGTAGTACACTCTGCTTGTAGTAATGCACCTTTCCTGGCCAAAGGAAAACATCAGTGCAGAGCAGGTTGTGAGCCAGGACGAAGGCTGTGCCAAGTGTGCTGATGCTGTAGTCACCATCACCGTGACTGATGACAGAGCTGTAAGGATCAGCGATGGGCTGGGGATGAGGCTCCTCTGTGAGATGCTGCTCTGCAATGGGGTAACCTCTTTTAAATCATCTGTCTTGTTTAATAACAAAAAGACAACTTGACAATGAGATAAATGCAGTGTTTGGTCTGGGAAGACTTCTACCTACCACGTACCTGGCATACTTTCATTAAGAAAAAGCTTTTCAGTTAGTCAGTTATTTGTTTTTTTCCATTGACTGACACATGGAGATCTGGGATGCTTGGTGCTGTGTTTGGGAAATGGGACACATGGTCTGTGCCTCAGCTAACGAGAGTACTTGATAAGTACTGGTACTTCATCTCTGTCCTGCCACTGGTGTCACCAAGTTTTCCACTGTCCATCAGGCTGCTGAAATAAGTGAAAAAAACCAAAAACCAACAAATCAGGGTCTTCCTTTGAGCACAGCATATCAAAATGGTAAATTTTTATGCAGGAGGAAGTCAACACTATTGAAATGTCAGAACGTACAGGGAATGGAAATGCTGAGTGATCTGTGGCAGATTCTTGGGGTGCAGCAATACCACAGAGGCCCTAAAACAGGCAGGGGCCAGCTACATGCTCACACTTCCCTTTGGAGAGACCAACACTTTCTGAAACCTGTGCAGACAGAGGGTTGTAAGACTTTCCCACAGACTGCAGACCTTCTTTTACTTGAGGCTGGGGGATGCAAAGGGGACTATGCTAGTTCTTGGACACCTTTAAAATCATGATTTTCAATTATCAGCAATCTCCTCTGGAAAGGTTTGGGAGCAGTGCTGACCTCTGCTGTGGAAAATGCCTGTGATGACTGTTCAGCTGTCATGCAGCACCTGCAGAATGCACAGATGGGAGAGACTGGGGAACAGTTTGGACAGTCTGATGCATGAAGAAAAAATATTCTAAGAGCAGATAAAACTGCAGGGTGTGACTTTCCAGCCCTGAATATTTTTACTTCTACCTGTGCAGTATGTGTATGTTAAAAAAAAAACAACACACAAAAACAAAATAGTGTGGTATACCTTACTTTGCAGAGATTTAGTGGATGAAACAGTGCTCAAAGCAAAAAGGAAATGGGTCTTGCATAGAAAATAAAGCAAAGCAAAGGAAACTGCTTGTAGTTACATGTTTATAAAATCTAGCCATAGCAACTTCCACCCTTTCAGTGAGGAACAACGGTGGGAGGACAACTAAAACAAGAAGTCTTTCTGCTCTTTGAGTACGTGATCCCTGGCAGTGACCACCCCAAAATGGATGTCATCTCCACTATCGGTGGTGGCACCTGGGAAGCTGTCACAAATCTGAAAGCAACAAGGAAAACTGGAGCAGCCTCTGCTTTGCAGAAGGAATGCTTTTGTGCACAAAAGTCAGCGCTGACTTAAGAGTGAACTAAAGGCTGCTACCCTTTGGTCTGTGCTGTGTTACTCTCTTCGATTCATAGAATTATAAATCATAGATTCACAGAATCATAGAATGGCTTGGGTTGGAAGGGACCCCAAGGACAATCAAGTTCTAACCCTCCTGCCATAGGCAGGGCTGCCAACTGCTATATCAAGTACTAGATCAGGCTGCCCAGGGTCCCATCCTACCTGGTCTTGAACACCTCTAGGGACAGGGCATCTACAACCTCTCTGGGCAGCCTGTTCCACCACCTCACCATCCTCTCAATGAAAAGCTTCCCCTGACATCTAATACAAATCTTACCTCTCTCAGTTTAAAAGTATTCCCCTTGTCCTATCACTGTCTACCCATGTGAAAAGTTGATTTTCTTCCTGTTTGCAATCTCCCTTTAAATACTGGAAGGCTGTAATGAGGTTACATGCCCTTGTTTCCACTGCCTATACACGCCTTTCTTTCCCATCAGTTTGACCAGCAGGTCCTTGCCAGGCCATGCCAAGCCTGCTTTCTTATTCTGAGAGGTGGAGAACTCTTGTGCTCTCAGAAAGGCATCCTTAAAGAACAGCCAGCTTTGCTTCACTCCTATGTCTCTAAGGACAGATTCCCAGGAGATCTTGTCCAATGATTCCTCAAATAGCTGAAGTTCACTCTCTTGAAGTTCAGTGTCCTGACCCCACTCTTTGCCAGGCCCACATTCCTCAAGGTTCTGAACTCAACCAGAGCTGCAGCCCAGGCTGCCTCCAATATTGATGTCTTTAATGATCTCCTCTGCACTGGTGAGCACCAGGTCCAGCAACACTTCACCCCTGCTCAGTCTCTCCAATACCTGAACTAGATGTTATCATCGATGGAGTCCAGAAGCCTCTTATGTTGCTTGCAGCTTGCCGTGATGCTTTCCCAGTGGATATCCAGGTGGTTGAAATCCCCCATCAGGATGAGAACCTGTGAGTGCAATGCTTCTTGGAACTGAAGCAAGGAAACCTCGGCAACAGGCTCCCCACCACCAGCTGTCCTTTATTGAGGCTTTGCTTGTAGACTCTAAGCTGATGTTACCAGCAAAGGGCCCACTGAGCTTAAGTGGAGCAAGACTGCTCCCAAGAGACAGATCGATCACGAGAAAGCTTTCCTATGTGAAGCTCTGGATATCAATGCCTTACAGATGCTGCGAAAGAATTATGTAAGCACAGGGCTGTCAATGGAAAAGCAAGATCATGATGTAAATATTGCTGGAGTGAGAAACCTCACCTATAACAGAGCAAAAATAAAAATGCACAGTCAGTGTTGCCAACCTAAACTAGACGGTTCTTGGAATGCAGGGGAGCTGTGAAACGAGCACCTGGCTGGAAGAAAAGCCTCAGATGAGATGGCTGTTGGCTGAGCTTCAGCATGGGAACAAAGGCCATAAATCAGAAACGTTTCTCACTAGTATCAGAGCCTGCGATGGGCCTCAGCAGTGTTTGTCTCCCTGGAACACGCAAGGGTAGCTGATCTCAGAGTAGGTGGTCTGAAACTCTCATTGTTCCTCTGTCTCTAGTTGCCTTCCTCCTCCTGACAAGTGAGGCATGGATTTATGTTGGGAGAATGGCCCAAAAGCTCTATTAAAGCAGTAGGGAAGCTTTCCTCAGGGTGTAATCATCCGAGCAACAAAGCAGATATTTGGTGCTGAGGAACTCTGGCTGCAGCTTTAGAAGCAGCTGTTTCCCACCCCATGCCCAAAACCATGTGACAGGACCTGGCTTGCTCTTCCTAGTCTCAGTGGCAGCATCCAGCAGAGCTACCCTCTTGTGGCACCCTTCAAAGTCAGTTAGAGTGCTGAGGAAGAGGGGAGGTGCTGTGGCAGTGATACCTCCACTTCCAATCCCCTTTTAAGGGTTTAGGCTGGTGTCTGCTGTATTCTTACCCTGATGCATAGAGGGGCAAGGATAAAATCTCCATGTCCATAGATGTCCTATGGTGGCTGCTGTCTCAGCAGCACCTGTTCATCGTAGTGTCTGAAATGACAAAGATGTGAGAGGAATGCACAGTGATGACCTGAAGTGCAAATGGGCAAAGGGTGAGTAGAGTTGAGCTGACCATGGGTCCGGGCCTGCAGTGGAGTGTGGGCTCAAAGGTCAGCACCCTGGTGTGGAGCCTCTTCTTAGATTGTGCAAAAATCTTTCATCTGTGTGTATATATGTTGTAAACACAAGTATGCAGTCAGAAAAGTAGGAAAGTGTGTTCCAAGATCAAAATGAACTTTAGGTTGATGCATCATACCAGCTCTTATTGGTTTATATATTTATACGTATCTATATTTTTTCATCTGTGCTCATTTCAGGATGAATAGATTTATGCAAGATTTGCCACATTTCCATTTTGGATGATTGGTGTGTTGTTTCTTATGAAGACAATGATTGATCTCCAATAAAGCAGGAGGGTCCTTGTGCTTCAGAGCTGGCACCTGAAGCAAAGGAGAAACAAAGTGCAAATCAATTCACTTCCGCTGATGAAAGACAAATATGTGCAGAGGAAGAGCTAAGCAAATCCTTTTGTTCCCACTGAGTCTTATGGAAATTTTACCAGGTCCAATAGGACCAGGACCAAACAAAGTTTTACAGTGGAAACTTTCTACCTTTAAAACTGCGCTTAATATTATTGTTTTACATCTCTTCATCTCCTAGGCTTATCACCTTCACTTCACCCTCACTTCAGAGGGATTTATTGGATTTGCTGTCTATATGACAAAAGACAGTGCAAGTTTGCAACTTCGGTTTTCACAGTCACTTTGAATTCCAACAAAGGTAGTTAAAAAGGCTGCATTGAAATACTAAGTTTTCAAGTATGGTAAAGGCAAATGGGCATTTACCCTTCTTTCTCCTATGTAGAAATG